AAATGGGCTTAATGTAAAATCTAAAAAGCAACAGTTCCCATCAGAGCACAGAAAGTATTTTTTCATTTTGTTTAAACCTTAACAGTTGAGTGTAGTTTACTTACACAGCACTGCATTATGACACCCATCATCTTAAGGTCGTATTCAAGATGGTTTAATACATGAAATACTATATAAAATCTGCATTATTCCAAATTGAACTTTGATTAGTTCGGTTTCTAATTAAGCTTTGCAGAGGCATGGCAGCAAGTCAATCCCTTGATTCAGTTTGCTAGATTAGTAAAGCGTTGAAAGGTTGCATGATGGGAGCTCTCAATGACTGGAGTTGGTCATCTCTTTCACACAGCACTGTTAAATTTAATTGATCATGTAATGTACATTGTTATTGTCATGTTCCTACCCTTTGTGGATTTCTTTAGTTCTCATTTACATTTTAGTTTATGTCATTCTGGATTCTTGGTTATTGTTTCTTTTTTTATTTTGTGTCATTGTAATTGTTTTCTTGTTATTTTTAAGCAAATTGGTGGATCTTGAGCTATACTTTGTTACCCCCTTGTGCCTGTCTTCTTTCCCTTAGCTCCCTTCTAGTCACTTCTATTCACACCTGCTCCATATCAGCTAATTAGCCCATTCTTTGTTCTGTTCCCCATATATACACCACCTCTGCACTTCCTCATTGCTGATTTCTCATTTTTTCTTTGCTCCCATGTGTGTTTTCCATGAAGTCTCCTGCATTTTTGGTTTGCAGTATTTTTGTTTTTGGACTTTGTTTCTGTTGCCTTTGGTATTTTGATTAAATTTGCAAAAACTCATCCCTACCTCCTCATCTCTGCATTTGACTCCTCAAGCAACTTCCACCAAACCCTGACATTTATGTGTCTAATAAAGCTCAGCCATATGCATTGTCAATGACTGCAGCAATCCCTCCCTGCTGAGCAAGAATGCTTCAATAGGAAAATGGAAAATTGCTCGATTTTAACCAACAAAACCAAAAAAGACCTGAAAGCGTGATAATGTATTTATTTCTCCCCCCAACATGAATTGAAATCAATATAAATGGATAGCTAGAGCTTAACAGTACAGACCCTGGGTCCCTGTAGATACATTAGTCCAGCCTCTGAAATAAGAAATCAGTCAAGACTGGAAAATCATGATGTGAGCTGGTGCTTAACACCAGAGCACAAACAATTTGTCCAACACCACTGAAAGAAAGTCAAAGTGCTGTATGTGTGCGAAGGATCTGCTCCTGAAGACATGTCAGTATGCAGACAAAACACAAATCTCGGATTAAGATATTTCACCTTTTTTTAAATGATAAAGTGAACACATAGCATGTATCTTTTGTTCCTGTCTGCGTAGATGTTCAATAAATCATTACGCTCCACTATGTTTAAACTGGTTCAGTAGAGAAAGAGGCCTTAACTTTTAAAAGTGAAGGGTTTATGTAGTGTGTGTAGGGATGTAGTACTATTTGTAGAGTCCCACAGTATGACCAGGTGTGCAGATCAACCTTATCTCATAGCTTTAGGGTGTGTGTGTGTTTGTGTGCATATTAGGTTCCATTATAAGAACAGGTTGCCTGACTCCATATGTGCTCAGTGTGCAGGCAAGCTGGGAAAACAAGGTTCTCCATGGCCCTCAGTGTTATTGCTACCTCCTGCCTCCCAAAACCGTGTTTGAAGACAGGAAATAGGATTCAGACCGCAGTCCGAAGGGCATGTGGCAATGGTTTATACGCCTAGGACCTCTGACCTATCGTCTCCACCTCCACTCGTTCTCTCAAACCACTCCCATGGCCCTAAAACACTCTCCCCTGAGTCCAGGCTCGAAAATAATGTGTTCTGATCCAGCCTGGCTTGGCCTGACCTAACCAAGCCCTGTACAATAGACACATCGTCCTGGGATTTGTTTTAGTGCAGAATGAAAAACAGATGGATCTGAAAGAAAGAACCAAAAGAAGCAGGAGGGTGAGAGGGGGAATATAAGGGAGTCTTGTAAAATATTTTTGAAGAAAAATAACCTAGAGAGGTTGTCTAATGATATGTATTTGTCTTGTGTGGTTTTGCAGGGGAGGCCATGTGGTCTCCCTGGCTGCTCCATGGTTCATTTTTCATATTATCTGATCCTGGATGGAGAGCAAAAAAGAAGAGGTTTTATTTTTGGGGGCTGGGGTGGGGGGGTAACTGGGTCTCATTGGGAGGGCTGCGGTGAGGTTGTTGGACTCAAAGACCTAAATGTGGTCCTGAAGTTTCATGTCTTTGACTGTTGCACTTTCTTTTGTGGGTATTAGGAGAGGAATTACTCAGAGCTTATTTCTCTAATCTACCAGACTGAATCCATCTTTCTCAGTTACACAGTTCCCTAACAAAAAGCAACGTGGCCCCTGACTTTGTTCAACTTAAGTTGTTTATCAAGCCACAGTGTCACAATTTGCTGAAGGGGATACGTTTCGCCCCTATCCCGGGAACGCCTTGGAATGCCCTAAAATGAGCAGGAGAACGTTACCAAGTATCACTGTACCAAGTTCAATGCAACCCCATCACCAATAAGGGGGGAACATGTATGGATGGACAGAAGGATTATCCAATGTCTGGTTGCCTTCAAAGAATACTCATCCCCTTAAGATTTTCACATTTTGTGATATTTCAACCCCAAATTTCAACATTTAATGCAGATTTTATTTGACAAACAATACAAGTAGTGAATAATAGTAAAGTTAAAGCCTAGAAACTCATATGTTAAAACTTTTTGTATAGAGATGTGGTTTGCATTTGCGTTCAGACCCTCAAAAAAAAATTGTAATTGTTTTACCTACCGTCAAAGTTATACATGCTGAACAGCTTTGTCACTCATAGACTAATGTATGATTATTGAAAGCAAAGACAACAATACATTGTTTAAATGTTTTTTTTTACAAGTTAAGACAGTGACATGAATCTATTCATTTACCAGTGTTCTGGCAATCCGGGGTTAAGGATCTTGCTCAGAGACCCAGAGTGGAAGATTGTAGGAGTCTGGTAAATGTCTGGTAATCAGCTTTCAAATAAAATAAGCTGTACTGGAACAAGGAAATCTCTAAAACCTGCAGGACCAACTTTGGGGATGCCTGCCCGAACCACTAGGCCACCACTCCCCTGCTAGTCTAAAAGCTTTACGTGTGTAACAATTTTCACGTGTAGAGACTAAAATCTTAGATGGAGAACCATTTTTTAAGTCTGTCAGTAACAAGTGTTTTCAAGTTCCCAACAACTCAATTTCACTGTTATTTCAAAGGAAAGGCATCCCCACAGAATCAGAATCAGACATACTTTAATAATCCCAGAGGGAAATTAACATTAACATGAAGCTGCCACTACATGTTAATGGAGGGCTGATGTGTAGTTTTACCAACAGTTGCCTGATGCAGATAATAGTTTGCCTGTAGGCCAGAAAGTTCAATTAGGTACATAAATCTGTAGCTCCTCTGGAGTTACCATGGCTACATCCCCTTTTACTACACATTCTATCAACACTCTTGCTTTCCAGGTCTGTAAGTTTTGGTCAGATTTATTTTTTTTGTTGCCCTTTTTTCCATGTTTTCTTGCCAGATTGATTGAACTGTGCTTTGAGATGTTTGGTGCTCTGGATACTGTTTTCATAACTTAACCCTGCTTTGATTTTCCATAACTTTAACCCTGACAGATGACACGTCTTCCTCAATCTTAATGATGTTGTTTAAGGGTTTCACTCAGCAGCTGTATTGTACAAGTATAGGATCCCTTTATTTGAATTTTACAGTAAGGTTTGAATGAATTTGGTTGGACTGTGTATGCTTTAGAGATTGATGGGTTGAATGCTAAGGCACACATTTTTAAGATAGTCATTTGTAAGAAAATCATGCCTCATTTTACTGAATGTGAACCTTTGTTTGGAGTCAGTAAGAAATATCTCCCCAAAAAATTCAAGTTTCTCACTTGGAACATAAAAACAAGTGTCAAAAACTTCTTTAAAAATTAATACTTTAGGAAGATGCTGCTGTGTGTTAAAAAATCCTTTAAAAATATGTGTGTATTACAAATTTTTTTTCTGGTAGATATAAAAGTTTATATGTATTTTTTTCTTATAGTTTGACTGCATAATTCCCCTGGCATCCCATAGGTGTCCTACAGAATATGTTAATATCTTTTTTTAATGGGTGGTTCTGTTAATTACTGAATCCTGAGCATGCCCACCAAACACATCCAACACTAGAGAGTCTGTGTCTTGATGTCTTCCCTTAGCCACTGGCTTTGGGTCACCTCATTGTGTCCAGATCTGTCCTGTCTCTGTCTCCCCGTCACTCAGCAGGCAGCTTGTTGACTGTTGCATGACTTCTAAAGTTCTTCACTTTGCTTCAGTTTGATGGGCAGGATTTACATGAAATAGTCTGCATAGCTCCTAGGTTTTTATTTTTTTTCCTGCTCCAGCAATAACATTGAGAGTTCACAAAAGGAGGAGTCTTTCATGATGGTTGACTGCGTTAATAAGGATGATAATGATGTCACAGCTGGTGACATCATCACAGCGTGCCAGCCAGCAAAACAAAAGAGGGCTCTGCCTGGTCGTCGTAGCCGCCTTGGCAGGACCAAAAAGAGAGAGAAAGAGGGGGGAGAAGAAAGACTGGTGCATCCATTTGGCTTTCAGTTTAATTCTGCCTCTTTATTCTCATATTCAAATTTTTCCTGTGAGTATTTGTAAGGAGGGAAACATTTTGATTTGTTCTGCCAACTTTATATCTTTATTACGGCCTGGAATGAAAGCGCTCCGTCACTTCAGGCAGGATATCCAGTGATTTGGCTCCCAACTCCAAATCAAAGCTGTTTAAAGTGCATTGTTCTCAGAGAGATGCCTGTGCCCAGCCTCTGCCTTCTCTCTCCTCTTTCTCCTTTCCTTCTGTCTCTTTTCTGTCCATCTGCATCCCCCCCCTCCCTCATCCATGCTTTCTTCTTCACTTGCCTACATCTCTATCTGTCCTCTTGCAGGACTCGGAGAGAAAGGGCTTTGTGAACAAGCTTTATGCCATTCAGGACGTGTGCATCAGTGTACAGAATGCACTGGATGAAGTGGCCTCCTATGGCGAGAGGATAAAGAAGTGAGTGGAAAGCCTGCTCCTCGGCACCAGGCCCACTTCCCTTTGCTTCGCTCCACGTCCTGGTTCTTTACTCACATTGCCAGGCCACTCTGCCTTCTCATGCCAGGCTAACTTATTGTAACTAAGAGCTTGAATCTTTCATAGGCCTGCCTGACCTTTTTATATCATATATGGAAATTAATTCATGTGCATGCATACACATAATGTACATTTCTGCATCTACAGAAAAGCTTTTTCTTTCATTTATCAACAAATGAAATCTGATGTTTTAATCTAATATTGTTTGGGGTTTAGACAGTTTTCCCCAAGAATGGCTGATCTGTAAACTCTTATCATAAGCATTACAGTTTTCTAATTGCCTATAATAACATAAGTGAAAATGAATCATTAATAACAGGCTGTTACAATATCTTCAAATTTGAATCAATCTCATTCTTCTTCTTTTACAGCACATTTAACTGGACCGTGCCTTTCTTAAGCTGGTTAGCGATTGTAGCCCTCGTTGTGGCCACAGTCGTAATCTACTTCATCCCTTTGCGGTTCATCGTGCTGGCATGGGGTGAGGGAATGGCAGTTATCTGCATTAACTTCAATTATTTATATTCAAATTTTAATTAAAAGTGCACACTAGTCCGCTCTATGGGACTAGTGTGCACTAGTGCCATGGTTTTATCATTTTTAGGTTTCATTAAACAGTTTTTTTTAACTGTAGTATAGCAGTAAAGTAACTTAGATCCTGGATAATTCTAGTAAAAAAAGAAGTTCAAGAAAGCTGCATTCATTTTGTTGTATTAATGCAGAAATTTTACATGAATCTGTGGTTTCATCGTTGCATCTTAAACAACTCTGAGTGGGAGATGTTCTCACAACATGTTTAATTGATTGTCTTTTAACAAGTCACATATGTCAAACACTGTCCATTTGCATGCCAATAAACAAGACTGCATGCTAAAAAATAATTAAGATATTAGAATAGGGTTTTGCAGTCCTCTTCGGTGTAAAACCTTTCACATTTTCACATTTTGTTTTCCTTGTAAGAGATTCATTTGTTTTGGGTTTTTTTTTAGCTGACCTCTGTCGGATCTTTAAGACACATTACACATGGACAAGTTTGGAAAAGATTAATGCTCAAAAATCCTTGTGTAAAAAGGTTTAAAGGTTTAAACAAGGGGGTATTTTTGAGACCAGTTCCATAAATTTCCCCATTAAGCTGGTAAATAGAAATACTTCTTCCGTGTTTGCTTTGCTTTGTTCCTCTATTGAAGGAATTGTTCAGTTAAAAGTTGATGTATTAGATTTCTAAATGTGTTGTACATATATTTAGCCATGTAAATGCTCATTTCTTACTCCTCTCTACTTAGCTACACTTTCTTTTCTTTTAACAGGGGTGAACAAATTCACAAAGAAGCTACGGGACCCTTACACCATTGACAACAACGAGCTGCTGGACTTCCTATCCAGAGTGCCCTCAGATGTTCAAGTGGTGGGTTCATTGTTCATTCTGACACACCTGTTGGCTCCAAGCCCTGCTTTCCTTTTCCTCGTTTAGTGTGAACCCCAGAGCTAACAATTTCAATTGGCAAAAAAACAAAAAAGAAAATATGTAAGAATGGCAGCAGATTGCATTGAGTCATTGACCTTTCAGCAAACCACGTGACAGTAAACCATCTGCCACAATCAGCAGAGCATTTGAGATGTCAATGCTTAAATAAAAAAGAAGCAAAGTTTAAAGAGCACTTAGAATGTTTTCCTATCAAAATCTCCCTCTTAAGTTGTATAAGCAGGATCGTTCACTTTACAAATCCAGCCTTTATAGTTTAATTGCAGGAGGAAAGAAGTCATTATAATAAAAACATGCTATAAGAAGTCCTTATTTTGGTCGGATGAGACTAAAATGTAACCTTTTTCCTGCATGAAAATGTAAACACTTCACATAACTCTAAATAATGATGGTTTTCATCAGCAGAGAGAAAGAAACTGGTAATTGAAATTCTGAATAGAGCACAATAAAAGACAGGCCAGTAGAATAACTTGTTAAGGGTCTCTAAACACTTGAGGCAAAATTAGTGGTTCTTATTGCAGCACCATAATAATCCTAACCCTGCAGCTACAATAATTAATGCTTCAATATAATATGAGGTGAAATGGCCCAGTCAAAGTCCAGACTTCAGTCCACCAGGGAATATATGGCAATACTTAAAACATAATATTAAGACATTTGAAGCACATTTATTTTTCGCTTCCACTTCACAGTAAAGCACTACCTTATCTTCAGATCTAGATTTAAAAACCTGGATTATTATCTTTTCAGTTAACAGTTATTAGTAACATCCAATAAAAAATAATAAAGTTTGGTTATAAAACAACAAAAAGGAAAAACATTCCTCCCGGGGTTTAATTACTTTTGCAAGCCGCTCCTATGATTGTCTGACTTTTTTTTTTTTCCTGCCAGCCTCTGCTTTGCATAGTAGCACTTTCCTCTGTGTTTTCATGTGAACGCGTGCTACTTTGTTTTAGCCATTCCACCATCTAATCAAATTAATGTAAAGCTGTTTTTTTGAGTGTTTTTCCATTAAAAGCTTCCCACGCTAATTTAATTTCCTCCTACATGGCTGGAGCTGTGTTGCAAGATAACAAGGTTAAGTGAGTTTAGTGTTCAGCATATAACCAGGTTGATTGACTCCATACCTACTCTCCCACAATTACAGTTGGCTGTTGTTTTTCAGCACTGCTGGTAATTGGAGCAGAGTGTAAATCAACAGCTTAACCGGCACCCTGGGGTTTAGCGTCGACGTTTACCATGAGATCAGATTAACTTTGTGACTGAAGGATTCAGACGCTTCCTTAGGTACAATGTAGAGTGAAATGTGTGTGCAATAACAATCCCACGCTGTGCTGCAAAAGAAAGCGCAGTTTAAACATCAATTAAACTGCTGCTATTGGTGGCTTTACCCAAGCCCGATGGTGTCCACTGTGTCCCGTTAATGTCCTGTTGCGATATGGACAGACGGTGGCTCAGGCTGAATAACCCGAGGCCTCTGATAGGAACAGTCCCCCCCGCCACATCAGCACTGAAAAACTTCCTCTTTGATTGCTCATTGCCCGCATCTTTCATCTTTACAGGGTCATAATCCTTGCCCCCCTGCACACTTCACATTCACTCCCCCTTTCTGCCCTTGCACAGATCTGTAGTTTACAGGGGGCTAGTGCAGCTATCCATCGACTTAAATGAGCCCAAGCTGTCCCCTCTGGTAAAGTGCAACCACCTTACCCACCTGAAGCCTGCGGGTGTGTAGGGATGAAGAGGCCCGAGCCCGGCAGGTACAAGCCCTTTACAAGGCTCCTAATGAGGGCCTGCTGGCTGAGGAGGGTGGGGGCAGATGTACTGCTCTGGTCCAGTGTCTGTACCTCTGGAGTTGTACCTACTGTAAAAGTAAGGCTGTAAGTGCTACTGTAAGTTTAGGCCTGAAGCTGTGGAAAGGAAATTGTTGCCAGGTGTCACTAAGAGTTTAGAGGCTTGCAAAGCAGTGGAACCATCTGAAATAGAAAATTCGTTAGACGGATAATGGGACAAGGTGCAAAGAAAGCTGAATGTTTATTAGAAATGAATGGGAAGGTTTAGCTTGATTTAAAAAAAAAAAAATTGTCAAGAGTTGTGAAACCTAAAATATGTGTCATTAACTTTCTCACTGAATCCAAAAGTGGGTTTGGAAAAATGACACCCTTCTCTGCGGTCATTGTCAGAAAGCAGACCAGAACGTTCTGCCCTGCCTCAGGTGGTGGGTTCATTTTGTTGCCTGCCCCTTGGCTTACTGGGTCAAAAGCGTCAGCGGGCAGAAAACCCTTGAGGCTTTCAGGCGATGGTCAGATCCAAATGGAGCGTCCCTTCATGGCCACGTGTCTGTGCTGCCTGCTGGCATGGGTGCAGAGGTCCACTATGCCTGACACCATGGATGACTAATGAAGTGCTATTTCAGGGCCCTGCTTTGACCTCAGACACATACATAATCACGCCCACAAGTTCTCCCACCTGCCGTGCACCTAAGGTGGGTCACGGGCATTTCGATGCACCGTTCCACATCATTTAGAGGGGCTTTAGAGCAAGCAGAACTGATGAGGTTCTAATGACTTTATATACAAAGGGCAGTCACACTTGGCTACCATTACTTAGCATATAGCTGCACTGCATTGCAGCAGTGAATTTGCTGCAGAATCTATGTACAGTAGTTTTTTAATTCCCTGTATTATATAAGATATGAAAGCTTGAACTTTGCTAACATTTTATTTACTAAGGAATAACTTAGGATTTGGGGAACTGAGGTCTGATAAAAGGCCGTAATCATTATAACCTGACTTTGAGCCTTCATTCAGGTTAAACTAAGGTTAGTTTGTTGTAAAGGCTAAAGGCAACTGCTAGTCGAGGAGCGGCCCTGACCAAAAACAATTTAAATTGGATAAATATCACAAGGGTTAATGAATAAATCATTGTTAATTAACCATTAAACTGTTGTCACATCTGCTTTGGGAGATATTTAAAAAGAAAGGTATTGTTCCAGACCATGTTCCTCCTCTTTTGGACATGGTGTCCCTGGTGGATGGGACATATCCCAACAGGATAAAGTCATTGACACAATGCAGAAGTACTTTGGAAATGATTTGAAGTTTTGACAGGTCCCACTCCCCATACACCTCTTCAAGGCCTGAGGGGTTTCCATGCCAGCCAAGTGACAATAATATCTCCAGCCTTCCTTAGGTCTTTCCCTGGTGGGACATGCCTGAAATACCAAGCAGACAGATTCATAATATCGATCTCTTGAGAAACAAATCTGACCCATTCTTGCCCAATATTGGAACTTACAGGACTCTATAAGTTACAGGATCTTACAGAACTTACAGGATCTGCTGCATATTAGTACCAGAAAAGACTCCCTGCAGCAGTGTGTCGCAGTGAGCTCGACATAGATATTTTTGATTTATGCTCAATTTTGAGCGTGGTCTGCACTATACACTGTGGGTCTAGATACAGCCAAGGCAGCGAGGAAGTGGGGGCGAGTTTGTCCGACAACAGAGGGAGATGAGGGCCAAAAAGAGCGGGGATCCAGGTGGAAAAAGGGTCCCAGCGTTCTCACACACCTCGCTCTTCTAGCTGGTCCAATTTCACGATTTGTTTTCTGCAATTACGTTCATAAATACAAAACAAGCCGGCCTCCTGTCTGCGGCACTGTCTGTGGTCACCTACAATTTGGGAGAGGTGCAGCCAAGTGTCTACAGAGGCGGCAGGGACGTCTTTTTGTTCACTGCGACACCTACAGTAAGCAGACGACCTAGTTTCGAAGTATAAATGTGGCAGCATGAAAAGGAACTTCAATGCTCAGTATGTATTTCACACATGAAGATCAGTTGTGGTCCAACTCAATTGTTACAGTCTGTATAAAAAAAACTGTCATCAGGTTGCCCACAAACAAGCAATTATGGCGTTTTAGAGATTGGTACATCTCTCAATCTAATCATTACCTACTAGGACTAACTGGATTTATACTAGATGAAAACCTCGAGACAGTTAGCCTCTGGAAGTAAGATATTAACTGTGTAAAACCTTTTTACGGCACCTTACTTAGAAAAATCCTAAATTACCTTTTTCAGGTACTTAAACTTTAAAAATCACTTAAGTCTGAGTGCATGGCCCAAAACAATGTTGTAAGGCATTGTTTAAATCATTTGCTGGTTTAATTAATCTGCAGTTCCTTTAACCACCTGAAAGGTTTATGTTGCCTTCACCATCTTCCTTCATAGGAAGGCATGTTAGAGACAATGTATTGGTAATATGTAAAAGAACATCACATCTACTAACCACGGTTACTTGTGTTTTGGTTTATAATATTTCACTAGTATACTATCCTATGATCACTATAACAAATCTGCTGTTTCTTTTTAAACAAGGCTGAGCTGAGAAACAGTCACATTGCAGAGTATTCCCTACCTGGCGTTTGGGACGTGCCCGTGCTTCTAGAATGTTTTATGACACCATTAGGAATGTGAGCTAGGGAGAGCATAAGTAGGGCCAAGGCAATTAGCATGCCAAGTGGCCCTTTATGATAGCTGTAAAGGAGCTGGTTCAAATCCCCAATACAAAAATAAGCATGAATTCCAATTTAGGGCCTAATGAACAGCAGGGAGTCTGGTTAATATTTTTAGGCACCATTTATGTTTGCTGTGAAACCTCAGTGGACGAAGAGGAAATAAAAGCAGGATAGTTAAGGGTTGAAACTCTGCCAGATATCATCAGTCACCTCCAGCAGAAGTGTCTTTCCCCTTCGCTTTGCCCTTCCCCACTTTGGAGACATTTCACCAAAAAAAAAGGGCAATTAGTCTCTATTCGGTATGTGTCTTGTCATAGCAACTAATAGGAAGGATTTTCTATTCTCTCTGTGAGCCATTTTTTTGTTTTGTTTGTTTATTGGCTTATGTCACCTTGGCACGCCGTTTCTTTTAACACAACACAATAGCTTTGAGTGCTGAATCCTTAGTCTGCATACATTAGTGTTTCCCTGCAACCATTTAATAACCCTCATGCTCCATTAGGTATCACTTGAGATGCAAACTGCAGAGTTTTGTCCTCTTTTAAAAAAAAGTATCTGGTATCATTAAAATGATGCGTTTCCCCTTTTTTTGAATTTGTTTATTTATTCACCTATATGCCGTTTTTTTTCTTTTCCTCTCTCTACTCACTGTCACCCACCTTGCATGTCTGCCCACAGTGGCATCATCAAAACACAGTGGAAGGTTCAATGTGAGAGGGTGAAAGAGAATGAAAGACGGTGAGGAGAGGCAGGGAGGGGCAGGTCCCGGGATGCTTTATGGGTAACGCTGTTAAACGAGGCACGACGCGCGGTACACGGCACCCCTTCAGCAGAGCACACTTCAAAGCCTGTTTTTGCACTTGTACTGTCAACATTTGGGGAGAGGGAACGGAGTGAGGGTAGAGCAGCCTTTGAGCAGCGTTGGGTCTTAACACACCTCTTCTCCTGTCTGTTTTCCCTTCAAGCTCCCCGCCTGTGTTCCAAATTGGTTATGTGCTTCCTGCATTACCACAGTTTTTGCTTTTTTACCCAATTCCACTATCTTTTTATTTTCTTAACGTCCCACTTTCTCCTCGCCCACTCTGACTTTTCCCTTTTTTTCCCTCTAACTTTTAACTAGCTCCTGTTTTCTGCATGGGTGTGCATGTGTGTGTGGTAATAGGTGAGGTGAGCATGGAGCCAAGGGTGTAGCATCAGGCAGGCCTGTCACCTGTAAAGCTGAATTGAACCAGTAACGTGTGAGCCCCATTTCTCCCTGGCTGGCATCTCTTCACAGAGGAAAACTCTTGTTTGATTGAAATCTTTTCTTCCCTGCACCATTTCTTTTTGTTGATCCCCTTTGCTGCTCTACATGAGAAGCAAAAGAAGGAATACTTTCTACTGACAAGCAAACTTTTCTTTGTTTTGCATGTGCTTTCTTGTTTTGTTTGGACAGGAACGTCACCGTGCAGAATTAAACTGTGGCACACTTTTTTTTTTCTGCTGCTGTAGGCGTTTGGCCCTGTAAACAGGGCCAGTAACATGAAGTGATCTAGCATTATACTTGCCCTACTTTTGAGTTAATGTTTGATTGTTTAAAGCTCAGAAAGTTAGAGGCACCTTTGGTTGGTATAAAAGCTACTTAAGTTATTAAAAAGTCCTATTTATTAAATAATTAGATAGTATTTTATTTATTATTAATGATCATAGTCATGTTACAGATGTGTGGTTTTGTGGTCATGTTTCTATGGGGAAGCTAGACAATCACTGACACCCTCCACTAGAGGATCATTAGCAATGAAGCTGCCTGTTTACAGACTCCTATATTTAAACAAACTAGCTAAAAAAAAAAATGTATTTTTTTTTTTTTATTTATGATGCCCTTTTTTTTAATGGATCAGACTTTGAACACAGTCTAGACTGTTATGGTTTCCGCACGCTCTCTTATATACACAGAATAACCAATAGATGCAGGATTTTCTCAAACGAAACACTTTTCATCACTCGCTTTTTGTCTCTTTTCATCTTATTTCTCTGTTCAGTCAGACACCTCTTTGGTGTGGCCAGTGAGAAGAATCCAGAAATCCTAATAAGGCCTAGAAAGCCACACATCAGTAGTTTGGCACTCTGTAAAAAACCTATTAGGACTTAGGTGACCCTCATTTTAAGGCAAATGAAGAAAACGACCTCATTGTTTTGTTTTTTACTTCACTATTATTATATTTAGATAAAACTAAATTAAGAGCTTCCTTTTTTTTGACCTTGGAAGTATGGATCTTGTGTATCCTTTATTTTTGCTATTACATGTAGAATTTCTGAATTTTAGGACTTGAGATCTTCATTGAACCGTCAGAATGAGATGGTACAAGAGAGAGGATAAAGGCTTGTTCCCAGCCAGTGCTGAGACGCTCCTATTCTCGTCCACAGCAGATAGAGCCACCATGAGACAAAACAGAGAAACCGTATTGATGCGAGTTTGCTGTCTGCCTCAAGAATCAGAGAAGGTGTCAGTCAGTCAGACGAACAGAGTAGCCTGTAGTACGTCAACTTAGAGGAGATTTCTCAGACGATACTGGCTCTTTGGTGCAAAGTCTGTTAAGTCTGCCTTTTTTCTATTAGTATTCTGATTCAGTGGCTACTGCTTGTCAATGTCTTGAATCTATCTAAGCTTGCTGCTGAATGCGTGTGAATGTCTGAAAAGTGAACAGTTGCCAGTGACAGCTGTTAGTTGTTCAGCCACTGCAGCGGCTGCGTTGATGTACAATACCCATCACTTTCAGGTCAGGACAGGTTTTATTTTATCTAGGATCTAAGTTTTACATCAGTTGGGGAATCATGTCATGGAAAAATGTGTAACTGAACTTCATGTTAAGGTGAGAAGTCTTCAAAGTATATTTATTATTTTAAGTTAGCAGAAGGTCCTTGTGGAATAACTACCTAAATAACCGGATAGAAGAGAAAGTTTTTCCTGTTCTACTCTAGATTAAATTAGTGTACTATATTCAAAGCAAAACTATTTGAGGGCCAAACTGTTTTCCTTCTGCTATCTGTCAGTCTCTTTGAGATGATAATTAAAGATAAAACACTCGATTTAAATAATTATGCATTTTCTTTCCAGTGGATCCAACATCTAAAAGTTTTCTGTTTTCTTAATTCTTAAATACAAGCAATGCAATATGTATTATCTTAAAACTACTGACATACCTTGAACATTTGCATGCTTTTTCCAAAATCATCCACCAAATTCAGTGTATTTTACTTTCAGACTTCCATACATTGAGTGACAGTGACACTAAAGTAAAATGATGCATGGATTTCAAACTGCTTTAGCGTTAAAAAAGAATACATTTAAGGCATGTTTTTAGTGTAAAGAGAAATGGGAAAGTCCTCTACATTTGGGTTCAGAAACAATGTGTGTTATAGCTGCCTGTCTGCAGCTCAAATGTCCTTCAGCAGCAAATGTAGCACCAGTATGGAAAGCTGCATACTACTTTTATTAGGCTGATGTTTTCCACCTGTATGTGTGGCATGAGAAGATGATTAAAGAATTGAGAAGACAATGGGGAGAATACACAGTTTGGTGTTTTTTAAGAAAACACTCACAGTAAAATCAAAGGCCTGACTTTATTTATTTATCGGACACCACACCTTTTTAAATTGAATTAAACTAAAAGCCTTTGACTGGGCTGACCCACTCATAATATGTTCCTCATGCCTACCTAAACCAAAACCCGACTGTTATTATTTCCTCTATATTTTCTCAGCCTTCAGAAGAAAAGTGAATTGCATCGTTTAACATTTTGGTATTAATCAGCTTCTACTAAACTGTAAAAAAGCTTTTCTAAACTGAGCAAAACTACCTTGACCTTCAAGTACCTTAATTTTTAATCTATCTTTGTATGTATACCAGCTTCAGAGGCAGAAACAAAAGGAAAAAATTATCTCATTTTAGTGGGATTATATGAAGAGCAGCTGAACATTGATTTTCAGGTCTTGCTACAAATTCTTGAATAGATTTCCGTATAGCATTTGACTCGGTCATTCTAACACATAGCCTCTCCATTTGTCCCATACAGGTAGCTTTGGTTATTATGACCACAAATTGTATCTTCAGTTGATCTAGACTAAAAGATATGTTCCTTAAATTCAACTTGCCCCCATGTTCTTCCATGCTTTAGCTATATATGGCTATATTTTTGCCTTTGTTCTGGGGTTGTTATATCATTGTACATTCTGCACCAAAAACAGCATTATTTCTGTGAAACAAACCTCCTCTCATTCTCTAATGAGGGCTACATACGTCCCTTGGTATTTATACTTGCATCTTTGTTTAGATAGATGAGTGTTATTCATTGTTAGGTGTCATGGAAATAAACCTAACAATGAGCCAGACTTGCAAAGGTCTGCAATTCTTCTAGTTGATAATCCAGAACAATAACTGTATTGTAAATTCTTTCACGTGTCCCTATTTAATTTTTATGCTCTAAGTTATTAGAAGCTTTCACTACCACAAAATTAGTCCCTGTGATTCTTTATTTTGTTTTAAAACATGGTCGGTGTAAACTTTTGAATGCAAAGAAAGAAATTAAAGTTATCCTAAAATTATCTCATATTTCCTTGAATTAAGCGAGTAAAAAAAATAATTTTAAAGCTCAAAACTGCAGAGTTCTTCGTGCTTACATAAGCCTGAAAAGAAGAACTGTAATTCCTAGTTTTTGGAAACATGAATGGAAAAAGAAATATAATTTATTTTCAGAGGACTGAAAGCTCTTGCAGATGTGCTTCTTAATGGGGCAGGTGCAGACATAAAGAAAGGGTAGGTATTCATCTGTATATTGTGCAATAAAAAGTTCAGACACCTTCTTAAAAAGTCTGGGAACAGATTAGAACACGACCCTATTTATAATTATAGCTTTAATTTCAGGCCATTTGATGTAACTCCAGATTAATATGCAGTATTTTATTTCTGCAGCTTGTCTCCTTCCTACTGCTCACTAATAGGATGACTATCGGTCGTCCAATTCTTCCACAGGCTCTCACCCTGTTCTTTGTTTGTCTGTCTGATCCCTTCCTGTAGGCCACTGTTGCACATCTGTGTGTGTTTTTGTTACATGAACATATGTGGACCTTTTGCTACAACAGAGCTCTATTTCAGTACTTTTGCGTGCGTGCATGTCTGCATCTGTGCGTGCGCGTTGTAATCAGTGTGTAATCCCTTCCCCGAGGCCACCGTTCCACACAGCTGGACCGGAGCCTCTGGAGGGTCTCTGCTATTCAAGCATCCTTTGCTCTCTCCACCTGACCCAGTGGTGTGTGTGTGTGTGTGTTTTAACAGGTGCAGTACCAACAGCTGAAACTGGATCCCAATCCCAGTCCAAATAAAAGGAAGAAAAACAACCCGGGGTAGATTACGCCGTCCGCCCACAGACTCCTCTCTTCTTCATTTTCCTCCTGCTGGTCTGATACAGGACACTGAGAAGAACATCTTGGCTGAACCATCCTCCTTCTATTTATATCCCATCTTATTTTTTTTATTTTTCTTCCTTCAGTAGACTTACCAGCTTCCTTTATGAATAATCTTTATGAATAATAATATTGAGCAAGGATTTTTACATCATTATCGTTGTTATTATTGCTATTATTATGTAGTCTTGCTTTTAATGTGTTGAGTCCTTTTTTTATATCAGCTTTATCCTTCCGTCTGGAGGTCTGTATGATCGCCACAATGGTCAAACAGATACACTGAAATATTTAGAGATGATTGGGTGCATTATTTTAATAGAATTTTTAAATAATCATTGTTGATATTTCTTTAGTTTATTCTATATAGCTTTGAAACATTTTTGGTCAAATATTTGTATTTTCTGAATTGTTTTTATACTAATGCATCCTTACTTCATCTCCTCTTAAACTTGTTAATGATTATATGTTTGCTGGTAGTACTGTAGTTTGGGTTGTTACCTGAATTAGCGAGCAAAGCTGATTGGGAGTGTAGTTTATAACTTCCAGATATGTTTCTTCACCAAGAAGAACATCTCAGCAAATTAGATTTTTTTTTAAAGTTGGTCGGACCCAAGGGCCATCACACAGAGGGGTATCCAGTGTAAGGGCAGACTGTTGCATTCCATGTGTTTCAGAGCCAGAGGCAATATCAGGAGCACCTTAGCTGACAGGAGAAGAAAAAAGGAAACAAAGGACAGTTCAGTAGCTTAAAAGTCCTCCTAGATGAGGATGGATTTTGCATTTCATGTAGACATCAAGGTTCCAAAGTTTGGAGGAAGAGTGGAGCAGCACAAAATCCAAGCTGCTTCAATTTCAGTTAAAACTTTTCAATGACAGGAATAATTTGAGGAGCCATGTCATGTGATGGTGTGGGTCCAAATTCAGAGCAGCTGTCCATCAGGAAATTTTTATCAAGATTTGGATTTTATTTCCATGTAGGACTTTCCTACACTGCCAAATGTACAGATCTGCCATAACAACCGCACTTGATGGGTCAGCAAACCCCCAACAGCCAACTCCATAAGATGGCAACAGCAGATCCAACATTGCAGACTTGCTTGAGGCTACCAATAAAGCAAATTCCAGTTTTCCACTTATCTGAATTTACAATTTTCAACGGCTGTACAAACGGCACTTAAGACAAACTAATCAATGGAAGAAATGTATCACTAGCTGTGTTTCCATCAACAACCAAATTGTACAAATTCTAATTGCGAAAATAAATTTGGTGGATGGAAACACCGCAATTTCTTAAAAACTTGCATTTTGCAATAAAAAGCTTTTGTGCTTCAATTAAGTCGTTTTGCGGCCATTTTCAGAGCTATTTAGTGTGCAAACATGTTCAAATGCAATTTCAACTGTCTTCGTTATTTCATGGAAATACTGCAATTGCGAACTTTGCATTTTTAAAATTAGCAAAATATCGCCATACTTTTGTGCACATTTGTAATGGAAACACAGCTAGTGCGGATTATTGAATCAGATTCCTGAAACAGTTTGCCTACTATGATAAATGAGTGAGTTTCATTTCCTTTTTTGTTACATTTGAGATTCATTAAATAAAACAAAGCCAGAAAAAACAAGTTGGAAATATGTTAGATTTAGTGTAGCCCTAGGATGCTAGTAAATGTGCAGTTTAACCTTGCCAACGTTGTCACTCGTTCGGACCGACACCTTCTCAGTGAGGAGGTGCCGAAGACGGGGCCTGCTGTCGCTGTGTTTATATAGATGTCAGCTGGTCTATGTAGAGTGTCATCGAGCAGGCAGGCAGGCCTTTAGGCAGGCACAGCCCTAATCTTGTTTGAAAGGCCGGTCTCCTTCCCTCTCATCTCCCTGTGTGTTTGCCTTGGCGGCCACACATGAAAGCATTTACACACGAGACGTACTTCTTCAGCACGGGCACGTATGCAGACACAAAGAGCCCCAGCTTCTCTCTCTACCTCTCAAGAGAGAAAGCGCGCATCTCTTGTAGGAAGTCTTGCACACTGTAACTACTTGCTTGCAGATGAAAACAGAATGTCATATTTGTGCAGCAACATTTTCTCCCTCTCAACCGCACGCACACACACACACACAGGAAAATGCTCTCTATGATGCGGCGCCTGGGGCTGGCCGCCCTCTCCATCTGCCCCACCTCCTGTGCCCACAGCTCTACTTTGATCAGCCCTTCCAGAGACATGGGCTCGTATGTGCGAGCTGTGTATTTACAGAGAAGTGTTTGCATATACACATTTACGCAATCAAAGATTCTCTCAGCGTCGGTGTGTGGTACAATTGCATCTCCCCTCCAGCTCTAGACTGACACTCAGACTCAGTGTGTGTGTATTCGTGTGTGCGCTGCAGTAAAAACGGCAGCTGTTTTTTGGTGTTGACTTTGTGGAGATGCTTGATGAGCAGCAAGTCATTGTGTGACAAGACAAGGCTCCGAGGGGACTTAGGCCTGAGATGTCAGGGACGGAGGAATATTTGTGTGTGTCTGTTTTATCCTATTTCAAAACCCACTTCCCGTCATGCTTTCCCCGTTTGCTCTCTCTCTGCGGTTTCCTCGTTCGTCAGTAAGCAGGGTTGCGACCCTGTCTGAGGGAACGGTCTCTTGGGCTTCTTGCCGAGCTTCTCTTGAAAGATCACAGCACAGGCTATGTTTGAGGAGGTCCTGTCTCATCCTATTGATCCCTGCCTCCATTTCCCATTGCCTCGACTTCTTTGTCTGACTGTCTTTAAGTCTGTAAGCCCCTGCTCTGTCTGTCTGTGTGCCGTCACCTTCCACCCTCTGAAACTCCTTCCTTCCGTATAACTGTTTCCATACTTTTATATGATTTTGTTGTCTGATCCATCTGGAAAAAAGTAATACTGTTTCTTTTAGAGCATTACCACAAACTTGTCACTTTGACTCCTGAGGAATGCCTTTTTTTGTAATGCCTGATGAACTGCTTGAATACTTGACATTTTATTTGTACTGTAACAGTGCAGGCAACTTTTGTTATCACCCCTTGTAAAGATTGTAAAAAGATTTTAAGTTGATCAAACTTTCCTTACAGTAGGGTAACTACAGCAAAATAAATACTTTATTTGGGTGCCTTTATTTATCGGAAAACCCAGCAATGGTAAAGTTTTATGATTGACGACAAAAGGCTTTTCTGTCCATATTAGTTCAATGCTTTGCAAAAGGTATTCACTCTCCTTGACTTATCGATTTACATAATTGTTAATCCTATTTTCTCTGATCAGCAGAAATAGTCGAAGTCAGTGGAATGAACTAATAATAAAAACACACAGTTGCTATAAGGCCCCAAAGCAAGAAGTATCACACCATGAAGACCAAGGAGCTTGACAAACAGGTTGGGGACAATCTTGTTGAGAAGCAGAAATTTGAGGGGTTATAGAAAAATCCCCTTACCTAAACTAACAGAAACTGAGTTGCTATATTTGAACTCTTAAGTTGGATTTTTGTTATGTCCATGTTAGAAATTTCAATCAGAAAATTCAAACTTGACATTAAGAGTCAGAAAGTGATGGCAGCACAACAGAACTTGACTTCCATTTTCAAGATGGCTGCCACTTGTATCATCCAGTCGTACCTTTTCAGTGTTTCTAAGACCATAATAGAACAGTGTTTTTGTTGTTATATTTGTAACATTTCCATAATGGCCCTATATGAACAACGAACGATATTGCATAAAGGAATGATATTACTATTAGATAAATTTTCTCCAGCTTCACAAATCTGAGATAAATGGAATGCAGCATTAATAAAAGAGGCAGCACAGACATCAATGTTAACCATCAATGAGTTGCATAGTTCCACAGCAAAGACTGGATTGCCTCCGAATAGGACAACAATAAAGCATACAGTCCATTAAGCTGGATTGATGAGAAACAAAAGCCATCAGTTACTTTTTTAATAAAGTTTGTTTTCAGTTTACTAAAAGGCAAGTTCTGGACAGATAAGATCAAAAATAAAGTTTTCAGCCACAAAGGAAAACTCCACCTCTTGTACAAACTGGTTTGAGCTAAAAATGCTCTTCATTGGCAAAAACCAACATAAAAGAGGAGCAGCAGTTTTTTCCCTTGGGGAATGGGCAGAAATCCCGGTGGTGTATGTCTCAAACTCATAGGGACTTATCCGATGTGACTTTCAGCTTTAATTGCCACAAATGTGGCTCTGACTGGACTGACTGCACACTAAAGTGTTCTATGATTTAATCCCATTTGATCTTTGATTTACAATAAACATAATGAAATTGTCGGTCATAAAAAAGGTTCAAATTCTCTAACAGTTCTTCAAGTTGTAATGTATAAAAAGATGAATGATGGCAGGGGGGTGAATACTTTTACAGGCAATTGTACTGGCAAATGTTATGCCACTTTATTTATTTTATTAAAAGCTATTGTTTCTAAGCATGAGATTTCCACACACAGAAAAAACTAAAAACTTGGATTTAAAAAGTACTATTTTGTTGAGAGATTTCGCAGTTTAAGTAGTTTTTTTTTTATACAAATCTTTACCAGGGGGATGGAAATATTTGTCTGCATCCATTTGTTACAGGTTTGTGAATGTTGTGTGGTTATGCATCCAAATGTCTCTATTTGTTGTTAGTTGATGGTTTTGGCTGCATTTATCAGCAAACCAAAGTGTGATTTTTGTATAAAAATAGATATATGAAGAATGTATCAGACTGATGGTTTTAGAGGTAAAAGAAGCACTTTTTATTTGAATGAGGTAATTTATTTTTTAAAGAATACTGTACATAGCCAACTGATTACTCTATGGTTATATTTTATACAATATGCCTGTTGATGGTCTTGTAATAATAATGTAAAGGATGTGTATTATCTGCCTTGTTTTTTTTGTTGTTTTTTTTAAGATCAGTCTTGTCTCCTGGCAATATTTTCTGCTTGTGACATCATCTTTGTGTGCGCCATTATTGCAAGCTATATCATTTAAAGACAGGAGACATGGAAGGAAGGGGATAATGCTATGAATGCAACATGAATTTAAGTAATGAAAAACATCTGATGTATTTTGGAGAAACAAAATAATTAGAGAAACATTTTAATTAAACATTTTTTATCAACTTCATTTTGTGTGGATTACTGATGCAGCGACATGGACACGTCTGGTTCAAGCTCCATATTTTTTCCTTTTCTGCATCGGCAGCTTGAGTTACAGCAACATGTGTCGTTCTTCACTTTTCCCTAAATGATGCCCACAATACATATACACACATCTTTCATATCAAATCTCCATAATTCTCCAAACCAAAGTTCACAACTAATACTAATCTTTTTACAGTAATGAGGCTTTGAATATGGCTTCCACAAAAAAAAACGTGATATAGAGAAATTAAAGCTTAGCTTGCAGGAAAATGACATGAATGCATACCAATAAAGGATGTTTAAACTGAAAAACGCTGAATAGTGTAAAATTTGTTGAAAAGGAGGGAGGAGGAACTATAGTTATTTGAAAATAGGATATATTTAAAAAGAGTGGGGTAAACGAACAACAGGGGATATATTAATGGAAAGCTTGATGAATAGGTAAAAAAGTGTAATAATGGATGGATGGATTGAAAAAGACATGGGCCAAGGATAAGTGAATGGAAAACAATGAATGAATGGATGGATGGATAAAAAGATAAATGGAGACAAAGGTTGTTAGATGTAGAGTCGGAAATTTGATGGATGAACAGAAGGAAAAAGGGAAGTGAGGGGACATAAAGCAAAAACATTGCTGGACACAAACAGAAAAAAACATGCAAAAAGAACATAGGAAAATTGAAAAACAGGTGAGATGGATGGAAAATTAGAAAATAAAAAAAAAACAAAGGAACAGAAAAACAAAAGAAGCTCTAGTGTTGTACATAATACAATGTGATTTCATTAGCCAGCATCATCTATAAGATACAGACAAGGTTTAATAAATAGCATGTTCTAATATTAGGGAGCATAAAGATTGTGCTGTTATCTGTGTATAGGATTGGAAAGCAGTTTTGTTTTTGTGTGCTTCTCCTGTTTATTTTTCCTCTTTTCCAAACCAGTGCTTAGGTCTGTTTGTGAGAGTCTCACATGACTAAATCTGCCGGAGGGAAGACTTAAGTCGATCTCTAGGTGTAGGAATGGGCAGCTAGTGATCCACTGACCTGCTGTAGTTTCTTCCCTGATTCAGAACAGCTGGCAAACCTAACTGTAGATCCATTAGTCAGGATACTGAGCAACTGAATGTTTTCAGCAAAGGTGGAAGAAGGTTGTCCCTCCCCATTGTTCGCAGGAAGCAAAGAATCTGCTGGGTCTCTGGATGGTGTTACGGTCCTGCTCAGGACCTCTGGGATCAGTATAATAGACAGACAGGGTGGAAGGAGCAGGCTGGGACAGATGGAAGGATAGAGATAGCTATATGAGTAAAGAGATGAATGACGATGTGTGTAGACACCGTTACGATTTTAAGAGACAGAACAACACTGCTAAAATGATATAGAAATAAGTTCAAATGTCCTAAATCATGTGTATTTACCCTTAATTTTAGTAGTTAATTGGGATCATTTGCCACTGGAATGAGTATTTTTACTCTTAAAATAAGATAATTAGGTAATATCTTGTCTTGTCTTGTAATAAGACAATATAGTTGCTTTTTCTTATTTTAAATGTAAATTGTCTTGTTCCATTTGCAAAATGTATCACACACCTCCTCAATTTAAGACAAACAGCACCTATTTTAAGAAAAAATTACTTATTTAGATTTCATTTTTTTGCAGTGATTCTGGTCTCCATATAAAGTCACTCAAAATTCAATGCTCAATTAAAAGCTAAGCTATCCTACAGATACAGTGTTAGAAAAGAGAAAGGAACGAAAACTAAAGGTGCAAAAAAGTGCAAAAATCCACCTTTTAGCCACCAAATACATTTTATAATGTACCTGGAATCTTAAGGAGTGCAGAAAAGTTAAATTTTGTGTCTTTGGGTTCGTTTTTATTATCTGTTCATTCTATCTTGGTCCTATTTTTTAAGATTCTTTAATTGCATTTTAAGATTTTTTTTAGAAAACAACCACATTATTTACTGCAGAGCTGCTAAACAAGGTAAAGGCCTGCCGCCTTATCAATTGCATCGTTTTTTACAGTCCAAGGATGCTGAAGCTCCAACTGGATAAGTAAAAATGTTTAGTTGTTGGGTGAGTAAACCCCCAGAATTACACCATCTCTTAGTTTCTGTGCCACTAATTGTATATCAGCTATTATAATAAAGAAATGGCTGGGGAGGGTAGAGTGAAACAGAGACCTTGAGGGGGTCTGAGTGTGAGGTGCCTAATTCACATTTAAAGAGAACGCACTGAAACGGACAAACCTCAGAACATAAGTGAGAGGAGGGCTTGTTGAGGTACAATGACTAAAGCATTGCAGTTTCATTTTAAATAGGCTGTTACTAAGTGATATAAATGCAAACATGGAGGATTTAAAAGGACAGGTTCCCTTTAAATTCAGATAGAAACTCCACTGGCTGTCCGTGCATTTTAGACTTAATTTGAAAATTATCTTCTTTTTTTAAGTGCCTAAATAACCTTACCCCATCTTACCTCTGAGCTTCTTCACCCCTACTTGCCTCCTTGGTCCCTCAGGTCAGCAAAACAGCAGCTCCTACAGGTACCGAAGTTTAAGAGGAAGCTCAGAGGTGCCAGAGCTTTCTCTATCGCCGCTCCTCTTTTATGGAATAGCCTCCTGCTGCACATTAGGGAAGCTCCTTCACTGCCAAATTCAAGACTTACTTTTATTCGCTGGCTTTTAACACTGGCAGGAGTTACTTGTTGTGACCTTGTTTATTTAGCCAAATTCCTATTATTGCCTTATGTCATATCTCTATGCTGTATTTAATCTTGTATTTTTTCATTATGTTCAGCAGTTTGTTTAAGCTGTTTTAAAGCACTCTACAAATAAAGTTAATGATTTACACCATTTTATTGACATTAGAGAAGCCCACCATCCATGACAGTTTGTTTCCGTTTCCCAATTCTTCTCCAATATTTGGCTTTTATTGTAAACAGTGGAGTGGAATATAGTATTTCTGATATGCTTAAAGTAAAAGATGAACATGCCTTTTTGTAAAAAAAACAAAAAACAGTATATATGAAAACATTTGTTGTGTAAAAGATCTTAAATCTACAACCACAATAGTTCATTTGAAGGCAGTCAGTTCTTATCAGACATATTTACATAGAGTCATCAGTCCTTCAGTCTTAGTATCAACATGAGGAGCAGCTTTATTTTGATTTGATTAGTCTGATGAGAGAAGCAGGGAATGAGGAAACTTGTATCAATTTCACTTGAGCTGTTCTTTATTAAAGATTTTTCTTTAATTTCCATGACTCAGAAAATTAAACCAAAATGAACTTTCTAAAAAAAAAAACTCAATATATGCATTTTGAAACAAAACTTAAATGTCATAAAAACATTTATTTATACACAGCAGGAAAGGTGAAAAGTCAAACTGCAGGTATTCAGTTCACACTGAAATGTTAGTGTTTATATAAAGTAACACTTTAAATGATTTGAAAATGTATTTTTTTATTTATACATTTTTTTGAAAAGCAAAATATAAATATATCTAATTCTCTACTACAGCTATTTACAAGTAAACATAGCTTTCCAGAAATAACTTCGAAATTACAAGTGAACAAATGATCATGACAGAAATGTTACCCTGTAACGAATGTGCAAACTAGGGTCAGTGCCTACAGGGGACACATTACTGCATAAAACCTTTAACAAAGGCTGTGCAAATCTTTTTTCCAAGTTATGGATCTTTTCTTACAAATCAGCAACTAGTGCTTTGCCTTGAGAGCTTAGGTTCTCCAGTGTTTCCATTAGGAAGACCGTTTTCTCTGCTCTGCACTCCTTCACAGCCAGAGACAGAGCTTTTCTGTGCTCTCCTCGGCTCAGCTTTAGCAACGTCTCCACGTCTTCCGCCAGCCTCACCGCCCGCTGATCTGTCCAGTCCAAAGTCACATTTTGGAGGGAGTGTTTCTCCATGGCTGTGACCAGCTTGTAGACCAGGGTGTGGGGTTGGTCTTCCAGCTGCAGGAGGCCAGGCAGACCCCTATCCAGCTGGTAGGAGAAAATAATGTGGCCCAGCAGATAGGATCCAGCCTCCAGGAGAGGAAGGTTGGTCACTTCTGTTTGGTCTTTGTTCATGCGGGCCGAATCACCGACCTGAGCGCTGTGGAGGAGCTCCTCCCTCTGACCGGGCACAGAGACCAGATCCAGCGGCACCTGTCCGTCTCCATCAGTCTGCTGGAGGAGAACCGAGCCTGAGAAGACCAGAGATATTCAGAATCAGATCACACAGCATTCATTGCATGCTGTCACAAGCTGCAAACAGTCCCATTGTGGGTCTTTTGCACAGAAAAAATATTCAGCAGAAGGAGGAATGAATCTGAAACTAAAGTCTGATCAGGAGATGAACAGAGAATATTTTGTTGGAAGATATGCTTTTATAAAGGCACCACTCTGTTTTGTTTTTTAATCTTTTAACACCCCTTTATAAATAGGCTGCTGTCTTCCATTCAACTTAAGCCTTATATATTTATTCTTATTAATAAAGACACAGTATTTTCCCCTTTCTGATAAGTTCTTTCTACTCTTTTTTACAGCTTTACTTTTATTTACTTTTTTAAATAATATTAAGTGTGTAAGTCTGGTGTCATGTTTTGCAGCCATCATGCCCAGCTTATCCTGCTAGGGGACAATAAAGGTATCCCTGCTATGCTTATCAATATGATGCAAAGAAGAAAGAAACTTATTACTATTAATCAAAAATGATATATTCAACACTCTCATATTTTGGTCATTACCTCAACGCTCATTGCATTTTATTAGGACTTTATAATAAAAAAACATTTTGTAAAGTTAAACTAAGCAGACATCAAGGACTGTAACAGCCAGTTAATCTCCCATTTATTTAGGTTAGGTGTATAAAGAAAGGGAAACACCTAAAACATGAACGAGCACGAGAAATGAAAAGCCCCAATTCAGATCAAAACATACCAATGGAGTCAAAATAGTCCAATCAAAGTTCAAGGCTGTAATCAATTAAGAATGTGAGCATTCAAGCATAAAGTCCAAGCAAAATACATACAGTTTAAGAGCTGTAACGAGGCAAAAAGTGAAAAAAAGGAAGGGGAGTGAATACGTCTGCATGAAAGGAAATTCTACAACACATCAAAGCACAAATCATTAAATATTCATAGGTCATTTCAGGCGAGCCTCAGTTCACCACCCAAATTTAAAGGATTTCAAAAGCCGCAGACTGACCTTAAACATGGAGGTTAATGACTGCAATGTTTACAACAAGTTTAAGCCTCAGCGATAACAGGCAGAACAGATTTTTAGCCAAGTTACCTTAGTCTGCAGCATCGTTATCAAATAAGGCAGAAGAGACATGGCACGGGTCAACGGCAGGACGAGGCACTGAGATGGGTGGTCGGCACGACACCAATGCATACGTCACATAACACATCCTCTCGCTCTCCGAATGCAGAGTGTGAGAAGTGGAAGGTTTAAATGAACAGCTGTTTTCCCACCGGCCCTCAGCGCCAGACGGGCCTATTAGCTCACTTCAACGCTAACTTCAGCTGACACTTCGCCTTAACTCGGTGACTGGCAGGTCACTTTGTGTTTGTGTTACAGGCGCAGAGGGGGAGTGACCTGACGCAGGGTCGCTTTTTCTGATGCACTGCTGTATGTGAGCTTGAGGCCGTCGACACAGACCATGGAGCTGATGATTCGAAGCAGACCATGACTGCTACATCAAGCTCTGCCTTGCTGCAACTTTAAAGTAAAAAAAAAAAAAAAAACTATTTAAATCAGTCAAGAAAATTCATTAAAATCTCTTGTGAATAATAAAACACACATATGGTTCTAACTTCCATTGTATACATTTAAAACGTCTCCACATTTTCCGCCTTCTGCGTTGCTGAGCTGCATTCAGCAGAAGGTGACAGTCGGAGCTGAATATAACACTTTCTTCTCTCCCTTACAAAGCCGAAATCATGATGCTGACATTTACCATCTTGTTTCTCTCCTCTCTATTCAGGCTGAAAGCCATTTTCCTGTGTCAAACAGGCCCGTGCACATTTAGCCTGTACGGAGTGGGTCGAGTCAAGAGTGAGCCCTTTGTTTGCTTCCAGATAGACCCATTTCTATAGCAAACTGCTTTGGATGGCACTTGACTGTTCAACCTTGGCAATGCTGCCACTTACGAGCAAGTTTACAGCTCTGCGGAGGGTCCGTACGACGGCCTCAAAGCATAAGGGCTGCTTGATTACACTGCTGGTGCTTGTTTGCTGTTTGACAGACACCGTGGGGATGGAGGAACTTTGATACTGGAATAAAGGGATGACTGTGTTTTAAAGTCAAAGATAAACCAGGCTTCCTGTGTCTTCCTGGCTGAACCAGTCAATGAGAGCACCATGCTTAAGCTCTACAAGGTTGAGCTAAGCCTGCAATTTTCAGAGTATAGTATAGAACCATTAAGATACTAAAATTATCGGAAAATATAGAATGGACTTAGAGTAGAGTCCTCCAATGTTGCAAAGATTCAACACAGGCATCTAGCTCTAACAGCCACAGCTTCCCAGTATCATACAAGTGTGTCCATGCAACTGCCGCCCCGAACAGCGAAAGGAGTTTATCTATTATATGCTTTAAAGTGAAAATGACATTCTTCGGTAAAAATGTCACGAGCAAAGCACCAGTCGTAATATAATATGGGGAGTGTTGGTCTAGTGGTTAAGAGCAGTGCGCTTGTGCTCTGAGGAGTTTGCAAGTACCCGTTTGGATCCCCACAGCCTCCACTCTGGGTTCCTGAGCAAAATCCTTAACCCCACAATGCTCCCTGGGCACCACACAATGGCAGCCCACTGCTCCCCAAAGGGATGGGTCAAAAGGCAGAGAAGGAATTTCGCCATTGTTAGACACTAAGGTGCAAACAGAGAACGAGAGGATAAAAAAATGTGAAAAGAGATATAGGGATTCAAGGATGGATGCCTTAAACAGGCAACTGTAACAAATGAGTAGAAATCTGATATTTCTGCCAAAGTCTAAAAGTTTGTCCAAATACGCTGATACCTGCCTCCTGTAACTAAAGCATTGATTTTTCAGATGATTGATCTAGGCTCGGCTCACAAATGAAATTAAATGCATTGATTTTGCAATTTTACACGTATTGTTTCAACTACAAATAAGTAAATGATGTTAGGAGAGTCAGTTTAATTTTTTTTGCATGCTTGTTTGCATCTGTATTCTGAAAACAAAACAAAAACTGAACAGATGACACTTTTTGAAAAACTACAGAAAGGAGAACACTTAGTAACCATAAGAGTATTGTGATTGAAATACATGCAGATTTTATATATATTAGAAGTTATTACATTTTTATAACATCCCACTTATTGTTAGGTTTAGACCTTTTTAACACTGGTAATCTGATCAAGATTAAGGGCCTTAAATCAATAACTAATATTAATATCCTCCCTGTTAAACCTATGGCTTTATCTTAAGTTGAAAAAGGTGTAATTTCAGAAGGAGCCAGATCAATAATTCAGGCTGGGCTCTTTAACTTATATAAAAGAGACCTATATCACTTTTTAATGCACAGCCTGCAGCCCATCAGAATCAAGTATTCACCCTGACCAAAATACATTTTCTGTCTCATTTTGAAAAGACACATATAGAAAGAAAAATAAAAAAAACTAGTTATTTTCTTTAGACACTGAAGAAAGGAAAGTAAGGAAAATGTGTGAGAAGCCATTTTGGAACTAAATCAGTAATTCCCATGTACTTTCAGGTCGCCACAAAAGATGGCTGGACTTTTCTGGATTCTGGCTTCTTTGTGCTTCTTTTTAGTTACAGCTTTTGTTTTTTTTTAGGTTAAGAAAGTTTTCAGGTATTTGGTCAAACATGCCAAAGAGAACAGATAGGGAGCTAGTATCAATAGATGGTAGAACTTTATATGCTGGAAGCCTTTTGAAAATATACAGCTAGTAGAAGGCTCTATATTCTCCAGGGATAAGGCACAGAGAGAGTTTTATGGTTAGTAATGCTGAAGGCACCAACCTTGCTGTCACTGTAAGATGCTCAGTAACTATAAATGATAATTTGGTAATCATCATTTTGACCTTGTTTTAAACTGGTTCAAAGCTGTTATAGATAAGCTTAGAGGGGTTTCATCTATCAAAAAAAATTATGGCCATTTAATCAAGTTTGAAATTCTTAAGAAGAAAACTGAATTGGCTAAAAATTGCTATCAGCAGGCTACAAAAAGGTCCCGAATCTTAACTTGTTAGAGCTCACAAAAGAAAAGTCAATACTCGTCTAAGTTTGATTGCTGGTGATTGTGTCTCCTCTCTGGTTAAATCTTTTACAAAAATATAGGTATTTTATAAACAGGGATCAGTGGTTGGGAGCAGCAGTTCAGGCAAGAGAGTCCAAATATGACAAAGGAGAAAGGCAGAGGTTATTGGAGGGATGTGAAGGTGTAAGTAAAGGAGAGTGAGCTTGTTCTCGGTGAGAGATAATCTGCAGGTTTCTGTAACAAACTACCTACAGAATCAGTAGGAGTCTGTGTCGATACTCTCAATCAGGAGTGGCTGCAATGCATGAAGCCAGCTAACTAAGGCAAAACATACTAGAGTTGACCCCCTTCAATGTGGTAGAAGAAAGGATTTATAAGATTGTTTGATGAACAAACTCTAAAAAGTTCTGTCCTATACCTGGATTTGAAAACCAGGAGAAAAATTAGTCTGACCCAGAAATTACCTCTCTGTGTGTTCTAGTAAAACCCCAAAATGATAAAAAACCAAAAACAAATCTGAAATACATCAATTCCACTCTTGGGTTATAATTTTTACTATCTTTTAAAAGAGCGATGTTTTTCTTACACCACATGCAGCAGATAAAGCACAAACAAATTTTAAGAGTTTCTCCTTGTCAGAAGGTTAAACCCAACTGATTGACATTGGGGCACAAAGGCTAGTTTTATAGGTTTTATAGGTTAGTTTAATATATTTGCATAGAAGCTTTGCATTAATATATTCTATTGTTTTTGTTTCAATACAAAAAAACAAGAAAACTAGTTGCTAATTGTTATGCAGCAATAAATAGCCAGACTTCAAAGTTTAACATAACTGTTTGATAAACCTTACTTAGTGATGCACATGTACAAGAACATTTAGGAACCTGGCCTGAGAAAGGATGGTGACTGAAGTGGATCCACGTATTGGTGCTGGGTGTCAGATATACTGCAGTAGAG